TCCGGGTTGTCGGGTTATCGGGAATATGATGATCAAGTTCTTGATTTGTTTAATTCAATGCGTGTTTCCAATGAATTGAAGCCAAATCCTGTTACATTTGCCATTGCTCTTCCTGTGTATGCTCGGTTAGGAGATATAAATGGAGGGAGGGTTTTGCATTCCTGTGTTATAAAGTCTGGATTGGAGGCACATACGAATGTTGGGAATGCATTAATATCGATGTACGCAAAATGTGGACTAGTAAGATCTGATGCTTATGCTGCTTTCTGTAGCATTTGCGACAAAGATGTTGTCACGTGGAATGCAATCATTGCAGGTTTTTCTGAGAATAATTTCTTGGATGACGCGTTTAGATTGTTCAGGGAGATGCTGAAAGGGCCAATAGCACCTAATGTTTCAACAATTGTGAGTATTATACCTGTTTGTGCTTCTTTGGCAAAGACTGTTGCCTGCTACTTGGGAAAGGAAATTCAATGTTTTTTACTGAGGACTGAGATGGGAGGAGATGTTTCTGTCTGCAATGCCTTGGTGAGCTTCTATTTGAGAGTTGGGCACATAGATAAAGCTGAATCAGTGTTCCGAAAGATGGAATCAAGAGATTTGGTTTCCTGGAATGCTATTATTGCTGGTTATGTGGCAAATGGTTATTGGCTGAGAGCTTTGGATTTGTTTCAGGAATTAATCTCTGCAAATATGTTTGAACCAAATTCTGCGACTCTTGTTAGTGTTCTTTCTGCCTGTGCACACTTAAAGGATCTCCAGGTTGGAAAAGTGATCCACGGGTATATTCTTCGGCATTCTTGCTTATATGCAATTACACCGGTGTCAAATGCCCTTGTTAGTTTCTATGCAAAATTCAATGACATAGGAGCCGCATATCAGACATTTCTGATGATTCCTTGGAGAGACTTGGTTTCATGGAATTCTATTCTTGATGCATTTGCAGAGTATGAATATGATGCTCAGTTTCAGGGACATTTAAACTGCATGCTGGGGGAAGGATTTAGGCCAGACTTCATCACTGTCTTAGCTATCATACAGTTTTGTGTCCGCGTTTCTAGTGTAGTAAAGGTTAAAGAAATTCATAGCTACTGCCTCAAGGCTGGTATGTTACTAGGTGATTATGAACTTACTGTTATAAATGCAATAATTGATGCATATGCCAAATGTGATAAAATGGGATATGCTTCCAGGATATTTCAGAATTTATCGAGAAAGAATTTGGTTACATTCAATTCAATAATCTCAGGTTACTTGAATTCTGGATCGTATGATGATGCATTTATGATATTTAATGGGATGCCTATAAGGGATCTCACCTCTTGGAATTTGATGGTTCAAGCATGTGCTGAAAATGATTGTCATGCTCAAGGTGTCAGCCTTTTCCATGAGTTACAAGCTCAGGGTCTGAAGCCTGATGCAATGACCGTTATGAGTATTCTTTCTGTATGTGCTCAATTGGCCTCTGTTTATTTGTTGAGGCAATGCCATGGTTATGCTATAAGAGCTTGTGATCAAGATGCTCGTTTGGAGGGAGCTCTTATAGATGCATATGCAAAAAGTGGTAGCATATGGATTGCTCATAAGCTTTTCTATTTAGCTCCTGTTAAGGATCTGGTTATGTTCACTTCAATGATTGGTGGGTACGCAATGCATGGTATGGGAAGTGAAGCACTTAGTCTTTTCTCTTATATGCTTGAGTTGGGGTTGAAGCCTGACCATGTTATCATTACTGCTATTTTATCCTCTTGCAGTCATGCTGGCCTCATTGATGAAGGGTTGAAAATATTTAATTCACTAGAGACTTCTCATGGGATGAAACCAAGCATTGAACAATATTCTTGCATTGTGGATCTTCTGGCTCGAGGAGGACGAATCAATGATGCATATTCTTTAGTTGCTGGTATGTCTATTGAAGCAAATGTCAGTGTGTGGGGTGCATTGTTGGGTGCCTGTAGGACTCATCACGAGGTGGAATTGGGTCGTGTTGTTGCGGATCATCTCTTTCAGGTTGAAGCTAGTAATGTTGGGAACTATGTTGTAATTTCAAACCTATATGCGGCAGATGCTAGATGGGATAGTGTCATGGAGGTGAGAAAACTGATGAGAACAAGAGATTTGAAAAAACCTGCAGGATGCAGCTGGATTGAGGTGGAGAAGAGAAATAATGCCTTCATAGCCGGAGACTATTTTCATCCTAAGAGAGAAATCATCTATAGTACTTTAAGTACCTTGGATCAACAAATGAAGGAGCCGTTTCTGTATGATAAGATCAATGTGTTCATGTATAGCAGCATTTAGAGCAAAAGAAGGATAATGCCGTTAAGTTGCTTTTATCCTTAAATGTTATTGATCAAAATCTTGACAGACTGAACACTTTTGTTGGTAAGGGCGTTCTAATTTAGTGGATCAGATCCATTGGATCCTCAAGTGAATCTAGTCTCGGTGGTTCTATTTGATATTCCACAACTTCAACAGATGAATTGGATAGAGGCAGCCAGAGCAGAAGGTTTCAGTTAACTATTGATATTTTAGCTTCTGCTGGGATTCAGTTAACTGTAAATAAATCATTTGCTTTTCTATATACAGTTGTTGACACTTGAATTATATTGTAATTTTCATTTTGAAGGTGATCTTCCAATGACAAAGAACAAGACATGATGGACGACTACTCATTTTTGTTTCTGAAGTTCAATGAGTCCATAAGGTACTAGCCTGCTATGCCTTCTTAAGGAGATGGGTGTCTTTTTTATTCATTGTGTGAATTTTTAAATTGAATGTTTCAAGTTATATATTACTTTAATTTTCAACATCTTAGAATTTTGTGTACCCTTTCTGCATAAGTTCAATATATATAAAAGTTAAAATTTCTAACAATCTGCAGCGTGCTAAAGTGGTCTCACTCGCTAGTTTGCGACTTCAGAAATATCAGGTTCATCATACACTTCCTATTTTCTAATCTTCATGTCAGGGTATATCTGAAGTATTTCTTTTTCTTTTTGATCTGTGTCATGACCTTAGAATTTTCTATTTGTCTTGATCTTCATGTCCAGATTAACAAGCATATCACTGCTTCCTATGTATGAGTAGTATGAAATTCAGTCGGTGTTAAGTGACTCAAATTTAACTCAAACAAAATCTTGAAAATATGTCGAGTCAGAAAAAGATGCTAAATAAGTTAAAGATTTAAGTCTAACAAAAACCAGAAATTACAGTATTCCTCTAATGCCGATCTGATTTATTAAGCCATCATGCTAATATAGTTACTATCAAGTTCTATTTTTCGTTTCTTGAAGATAGGAAACTCTGGTATCGTGAAGTTTTGATTTTCTTCAAGTGTTGACTTTACTATGCTATTTCAGATGTTATCAAGGTTCTATTGTATGTCTTTTGAGGTAAAAAGTTTCTGGCATTATTTTTACTTTAATTTTATATTCTGGTAAGTCCAGATTTAGTGTTTGAACTTAACAGACTCGCTTCAGCGTTTAATTTTAGTTGAGGAGTAGTCTTAAAGTTGATCAATAGTTTTGAGATTAGAGTATCTAGTGCTTGTTGGAATAAGATTACTACAAAACCAGAAATAATAATTTAACTTGTTTCAGTTAATACAATACTGTACAGAAAAACACTATTTTCTTCATATAATTTAACCGAGATCAACTGTTATAGTGCTGATGTAGCGGTTTACTATGTTGTCATGACAATCGCAATGCTGATGTCATAACTCATTTGTGAATGACAGCATGAAAGAGGGGTTGAATTGATTTGTTAGTTGACTTCAATGGTATAATCAAATTTTTGGAGTTCGAGGGTATAATTGATTTTAATTAAAAATTTGAAGGTTTATTTAAAATTTATTAAAAAATAGAATTATTAATTAAAATAATCATAAAATTTATTTAAAAAAATACTAATAATTATTTTAAAATTATACAACAGAAGACTTTTCTAATAAATTTTTTTATTTATTAATATTTTATAAATATTTTTAAAATTTAAAATTTTATATTTATATTTATAGGTATAATTTATCAATATATATCTTTTTATATTTTTTATTTTATAAAATGTTTACTAAATTATTTAATGTTTTATTTTTTATATAAATTTATTATTATTTAATAATGATTAATTTTTTAAAATTTTAATAATTTCTTAAATTCTTAATTTTATACTTAAACATTAAATAAGTCTTTGAACTTTCAATTAAAATTATTTGTGCCCTTGAACTCGGTTAAAACATCAATTATGCCCTCGAAGTTGACTAAAAATTTTAATTCAATCTCTTTGTCATATCATCATTTACACGAAAACTGTCACATTAGTATTTTTAGACGGTCACGTTAGCATAATAGACCTTCACACCACACCAGTATCGTAACTATAAACATCGGTCTAAGGATAAAATTAATGTAATTAATTGACATTGAGAGTAAAATTAGCACAATTAAAAAGCATAACATTATCTATTTGAGTTTACTTTAAGGTAAAACAACTCATTAAGTTTTTCTTTCTAAAAAGATGATTTTACTAGTTAAGTTTTTCTTTTTATAAAGATGTGATTTTACTAGTTGTACCTAATTCCGAAGGACGGATAAAGACTTCATTTTACTAAATCATGCATAATTTTCAAGAATATATTTTCAAACTTAAAAACGATTTTAACAAAGCAGGATACAAAATATCTACATTTTAATTATCAAAAGTATAACTTAAAATCAGATTAGTTCTTGTAGATTAGTCCCTAAAATCTAATCTGGATGTTTCAGTAATTCTCTACATACTAAGGGTCACATTCACATAAATTAATTGAATACAAATATTATTTTTAAAGAAGGAAATATTTCTGGTGGCAGGTAGAAGAGAATTATGGTCTGATCCAGTAAATGCTTCATGTTGGCAATTGATCTGCACTCCAATTTCATTGTAATTTTGAAGAACATGTCGGTCTTATGATCCTTCCATGAATGCATGCATCATCGAAAGGAATAAAAGGAAAATCATGCTTTATCGTTTGTTGTTGGAGATGTAAGAGGGAAGAGAACAAGTAATTGTGGGTCCATTTTTGCTGCTCTTGAGCGTGGTGAAGGAAGCAGATAGAAGCGTCTCTCTTTGATAGCCCTTTCTTCTTCTTCCGTGTTCAATTCACATTTCACTAATTCTTCCAACTCTTCGTCTACCAGCTGTAAGGTTAGCTTGGAGAAAATTGATGATGGAGTTCCCACTGGACTTGTCCGAACACTCGAGCTTCCCGATCTTCGTGGCGACGTACAAGGTTTAAAGCTCAATGGGGGTTTAACTATCTCCAGTTTCGGCCTCATCGTGTTTTGCCGTCTTTCATGGAGTTTGGGGATCGGCCTTTTCAAGCCGGAACCCATTGTGGCTGCTGCTTGTGCTGGATCGCTCTCCAACCGACCTGTTAACCGCTGCACGATCTCTTGGAATGTGTTGCTGTCTGTTTGCACGAATGCGGTCAAGGGTTTACAAGTGGCTGCAGTCTGGCTTCCAGGTTTTTCCATTCTCACCTCTCTCTTGAAACAAGCTTTTATTTCCAATTCTATGGTCACGACCTATATATAACCGGAACTAACATAAGATTTTATATAAATGAAACGAAAACAGCTTATCAATAGAAAAAAATAAATAAATAAAACATTAGAGAATTTAAAATTTTGAAATGATCGACTCTTCGGTTCATCCCTGCATTTAACAATTTACCCTTTGAAAATTTGTTAACAATTTATTGAGAATGCTGTTGAAACCAAACATTTTAGCTCCAAAGATGGAAACTTCTTATGAAAGAAAATGGAAAAAGAAAAGCGTACCTGAAATGTGGCTCTGGTAATCGACGAGAAATGAAAAACAAGAGATGGGAATTCGGCTATGTTCAAAACCATCCATATATATACATGCATTCATAAAAGCAAAAACAGATTGTAATGCTTAAGAAAGAAAGATGGTTGGTTATATGTTAAGTTGCAACCAAATTGAAGTTAAAGGTTTTATTTTGACCCAATAAGCCTTTTTTTTATTTTATATATATTTGAGGATTTTATGTTTTTGTTACGGATTATAACGAATAAATGAATTGAACGGAATATCTTTTAATTTATCTAACATATCTTTTTTAATGAACACGTTAAGTAATATCAATGGTAAAAGAGAAAATTTCTCCTTAGAGATCTTAAATTTAAGCAGTTGTGTCTGTATTATGTGTGCATTGTTAAGGGTAAGTGAGGCAAAGACACCAATCTATCCGCGACAATATTATGGGCGCATCGAACATAGTGTACACGAACCTCCCAATCTCTTTGCATAAGTTCTTTAATCACAACAAAGAGAATATTACCATGATCAGAAACAGATTTCAACAGTCCGCTTATAGCCTCCATGTTATCTAATTTCAGTTTTGTTTGCCGATATTTAGTTTATTATGTGTATAATTTTTTTTATAAAAAATATCTTTATGGGAAGGTGTGTCATAGCACGAGTTGACACGAGAGTTAATTAAGGTTTTTTTCTTATTTTTAGAGTGGACATATAAAATTCTACGGTGAATATAAAATAGTATATATTTAAAGACTTTTAATCATTTTGACAATAAATGCTTACGTCCTTGCATACGCGGTGTTTGAATCTAAAAACTCAAGAAATAACAATTCTCTTAACTCTTGAAATCGTTTAATTCGTGCATCATCCCATCTTGTATTAGAAGGATGGTGAAATGCTTTTGTGAGGTGTTAACGAATGTCGAGGACGACCTGTGATCACTGTAAAAGGCTTTTGACAACTTAACCTTATGTTAGTAATAATTCCCTAGGCTTATTGTATGGACATATCATTTTGATTATTTAGTTTATTATTATCATAATCTGTATTTTTATTATATAATAATATCTTTATAATAATATTCTTAATTATTTTAAATGTTCATAATCAACTATTATTGTAAAAACAACAATGAATTAAGATTAATATAAAGTCTGATTAGAATCCATTAGATGAATATGAGCATGAAATACAAATCAAATTCATATATATTATTGAGAATAAATATGAGATCGATTAGTTTTGAGATTAATACATAGTGATTGATTCTTTTAGTTGGGAATTGTGGTCATAGTCGTTGCACCAAAATGTTAATGGTCAACATCAAGGGATAGAGGTTGCGGTCTTATGAAGTAGTTCAATTTTAGTGATTTGGACGTAGTTTTCAATTTTTTAAGTCAATACCGAGATCTAGTCTCAGGCTCGACAACATGAGTTCGATAGAGAAAGAAGAAAGGAGAGAGGAAGGCTTGAGTCTTTTGACCTTTCTCTTAAGAAAAATAGAGAATTCTTTATATATTTGGTATCCTTCAATTCATGTGGTGTTAGTGGATTGTCAAATGGTTAAGAATAGGTTTTGTAGATAGATCAACGTTACTATAAAGTTATTGTGTTAATTTATTAAATATATAAAACTATTAGATTAGTCCACTTATTATAAGGTTTGTTGGGTCGGTGGGCTAATCTTATATTTTTATATATTTAATAATTGATTTGCACCATTTTCTTTTAACATATAACGATTCGAAGGTCAATTTTTCTTTTTAAAAAAGAAAGAGCAAGAAAACACAAGATTGGATACAATGCTTATATACATTACTTATGTTTAATTGAACTTATAGGATATGTGTAATAGTATTTCGTAAGATAAGTTTAGGAATTTTATTAATCTATTTAAAATATATCAACAACTAGTTGATCTAGTAAGATGAGATACTAGATTCCTTAAGTAAGGTAAGAGATTTGAATCCTGACGTATGCGAATAAAGTAAACTAGATTGGGATGGTCGCCCCTGCTACTGCAGTACACGATTCGGATTAATCGATTAAAAGATCGAATATAATTAGTTATACAAAAAAATCTATTTAAAACATAAATGGATAATGGATAATTTTTATTTGTCTTGATACATAGCTTAAGTAATGAGATTTTCAATAACTTTTCACAGTAATTTGGGTAAACCAACGAAACCCAAAATAGGAACTTTTTGGCTTATCATGGAAAGAAATCAAAAGATGTAAATTGGTTAATGTCTATATAAAACTCAAAATCTCCAAAGGCCAAATCCCAACACTTCAGCAATTTGCTAGAGAAATATGATGGCCAAATATACTCTCGTGCTTGCCCTTCTTTTGACTGGTTTGTTTTCTTCATTCATAATAAACAAAATTTCTTAGGTTGAAAATGAATTTGAGATATTTTCTTTATTGCAGTTATTTCAATGGTATCTGAGATTGAAGCAAAAAGCTGCATAGAGGTGTTAGATCAAACCAATTGTGTGATCAACGACTGTCAGAAATTGTGTTTCCAAAGGTTCCAATCAATGGATGGCCGATGTCTTGTTAATGGAGGATCACCTGCAGAACCCCATTATATGTGTGTGTGTTTTTGATTGTCCTCTTTTCTCTTAATTATTATGTATTTCCGGTAATAGATTCAAAAATATTTTTAAGGTGGACACATATATATTAATAATATAAATTTTCTGTATGGGATGAATACAAATAAAATTTGAAGTTAAATACAATTAATAAATAATTATCTGTGAAAAAATTTAAATTTCTGGATGAGAGAAAGGACTGTTCAAGATCAAATTTGGGATCTGTAGGTATACTTTGTCGATGCACTGATTTAACTAATATGTTTTTGTTTTAATTTTTTAAAATATTATACTTTAAAGAAATTAATTAAGATAATAATTTGCGAATTTAATTTAAAATCTCAAAAATAAAAATATTTTATTTTTTTATATATTCAAAATATTTTACTTTTTAAATATATATTCAAAATATTTTACTTTAAAGAAATTAATTAAGATAACAGTTTTGAAATTGAGAGATGACATTTCCATTTAGATAACTATTTGACTAGGCCCGTAAACGAACCAAACGCACACGAACGGAGGTATGTTCATGTTCGTTCATTTAATAAATAAACGAACATAAACGAACATGAACATAAACGAACACGAACATAAACGAACAATTTTTTTTGTTCATGTTCGTTTATTAAGGAATAGAACTTGTTCATGTTCGTTCATTTAATAAATAAACGAACATAAACGAACACGAACATAAACGAACGCGAACATAAATGAACACGAACATAAACGTTGGAGACCCTACCTAGGGGTATAAATGAGCCGAGTCGAGCTTGAGTATTGCTGAGCCCGACTCGAACTCGAAAACTTTCAAAGTCAGCTCGACTCGACTCAAAAACTCTCGAGCTTAAAATTATAAAGCTCGACTCGAACTCAAAATATAATATTGAAACTCGACTCGAATTAAAAAAAAAATTAAGAGCTCGATTCAAGCTCGATTCTGAGCTCGACATTGCCCCAAGCGCAAAGATGCTTAAACCTATTCTCCCCCATCTTCTTTTATATAAGTTACCAACCCCGAGCTGCTTGTTTGCTACTGATGTGGGATTGCATAACTTTCCTCCACTTTCTTTCTTCCTCTCTCCTGCAACAACAGTCGAGATGAACACAATTGTATTTCATGTGATTGTCGACCTTAATCTTTGGGGATCAAACAAACATATCCTTAGCTTTGTGTTATGTAGAAGTTGAAAATTGGGAGATGAGAGAAGTAGGTTAGTTTATTGTTCACACCAACTCATACATCAAAAACCATTCTTTCTTGGCTGGCTAAACTTCCATATCTAGATGGCGCACAAAATTTATTTGATGAAACGCGTTAAAGAACTTCTCAACCTATGGAATAAGGCCTCACCATTATTGGGTTCTTGAGTTCAAAGTAAGCTGACTTGAGTTGCTGGTTGATCACTATTTACTTGTAAATTCGAATACTCCATTATATATGAAAGAAAAGAAGATTATTTGAGTAGAAGAAATGGTGTTTACTTAACATCCCTTTCGGAATCCATCACCTTTGGACTTGGTTTCTGGGACTCCTCTTTGCTCATCGAATAACCAGCTGGTGGCGCAGTCACATAGGGTTCCGGCGTAGTGGATGTTGACGGTGCTGGGTATGCAGCTTATGGATCGTTCAAAAAGAACTAAACCATGTTAATATTGTGTGGTTTTCCAAATAAAATTTGGTTAATTATGGAGTTGGTCATCAGAATATCAGATTAATTAATATTTTTAAGATACTTACAAATTGGTCACCAAAATTGATTTAAGAAGATTGGGTTAAACATAAATGAATGAACATAAACGAACATAATCGAACGAACATAAACGAACATAATCGAACGAACATAACCGAACGTTCACGAACGTAAATGAACGAACGAGACCTATGTTCATGTTCGTTCATTTAATTAAACGAACACAAAATCTTGTTCATGTTCGTTCATTTAATAAATAAACGCACATAAACGAACTTCTCGCCGCACGGTTCGTTGAACGTTCAGTTCATTTACAGGCCTACATTTGACATTGAAAGCTTACACCTTTGACATTCATGATGCTTAAACCCGGAACCTCAAAGAATAACAATATTTTTATAAAAAAAATGTATCAAATAATAATCTTAGTAGACACTTTCATTTTTTAATTTTTTAATTAGTAATTGTATCACTTTTTAAGGTAAACTATCAAAATGGCCATTTTCATTTTATATTTGTTCGATTTTTGTCTTTAATTTTTTTAAATAATATTTTGGACACAAGGACGTTAAAGGAAATTAGTTTGATGATGTGGTACATCACTAAAATGGTTAACTTTTAACTTAACCCCTGAAATTTAGATAAAGTATTAATTTAAATCTTAAACTTTAGATAAAATATCAATTTAATCATTAAACTTCAGATAAATTTTTAATTTAACATTTGAACCTGACCAACGTTCCCTATTGCTCACCACCATCATTGGTCATCGGTGGCCACCATTGACCATTGTTGTCTTCCATCGTGTTGAACGAGCCCAGTGATAGGATTTCTAAACAGATGCAACCATTAACGAGAATCATGAAACCTCTGATCTCGTTGGAGCCCTCTATCTTTTTCTCTTCGAAAATGTATTTATTTTCTTTCTAGGTTCCCCAGTTGCTTCCCGGGGGAGGATGCAAGTGTTGATGTTGCTACCATTGTCTTTGTTGTCATCGCTCGAGTCTGTTACCGTTATTGGAGAGGTTGACCATTCAACTACTAGAAGTTGTTACTGGTTAAGGCTTCATTAATGGGCCAGGGTGACCCGGTGAAAGTTGGGTTGGGTATGGATGTGGGTAGGGTATGGGCTGAGTAGAGTTTGGGTGAATGGGTAAGGTTAAACCCACTGGTTTAATAAAATCCTTCCCCCATAACCGTTGATCCCTCTTCCCCAAAATCCCCAACTCTTATCCCAATTTCCAAAAAACTCAATCGAATCAATTCTCGATTTTTGGGGCGTTACAAGGATTTTTTTAGTAAATGTTTAGATTGAATTCGGGTTTAAGACATTAAATAGAGTTGAAAGGTTATTGTTTTGGCATTATGCCAAAATTAGCTCTCAGCGTTTATCATAATGGTTATTTTGGCCCTTATTCTATTTTTTAGAGTATTTTGGCCTAACTTTTCATTTTAGGGAAAAAAGACTCCAACATTTGGCAGAAAAATTACTTCGTCCCTTATTCTTTTTTCTAGGGCATTTTAGCCTCTAATATTTTATTTTAGGTAAAAAAAACTCCTATTTTGGAACGTTAATCGTGTGTTAACTAATGATTTTCATCTATAGGGAGTTTTTTGTCCAAAGTGAACGTGGAGGCTAAAATACTCAAAAAATGAATAAGGGCCAAAGTGATCATTTTAATAAACGTGGGGGCTATTTTTGATATTATGATTTTTTATAAAAAAAATAGTCATAGTTGACGGTAACTGGGGTAATGGTCAATGTCAACAAATGATGATGAAAAGAGCAAAAGGAAGAAGAGAAGAATAAGGGAAAGAAGAAATGAGAGGAGGAGAAAATGAAAGTAAAAGATTAAACGGCGTCGTTTAAGAACTATTCTTAACGCACCGATCATACCATTTTCTAAAGCGCCATCGACCCATGTGACCATATTCATACTTGAAAAGTAGGGTTATTTCTCATTGTGTTATGCATATATATAATAATTGGTGGACGTCTCCGAATGCAAGATAAGTGCAATTGATGGCTATGACAAAGAAGTTTAGAATGTTGTTCATCCTTAAATACCAACAAAATCAACTTAATATGCCACCTGTTGCATTAAGCCTTGGAGAGAAGAGAGTATTTAACCAAAGGCAAACATAGGTCCACAATCCACGTAGTAAACATGTCATCAAATAGCAAGGCACAAACGAAATTCAATTAAATTTCTCTTATTAGGATCATGTGTGAGTCTATTATTACATTTTACATCCTTGTTTGGGGAGGGAGGCACTTGGTATGACGAGCCTGTGCAAAAATTCTGGCTGTTTTTTTCTTGCGAAACTCGACATTCACGACGGCAACCGTCTTCCCAACTCGCAACGCCCTGCCTTCTATCTCAATTTCCTCCTGCATAGCATCATTAACAACAACATTACGAAACTGATATATAGATAGACGAGAAAGAGCATGAACCAAGCGACCTGAGTGGTTAAAGGAATGTTGTTATGCTTTGAGGTCTCGGATTCGAGCATGATGTCTATAGGGTTGTATGAGCGTTCATTGTCAAATAATTGAAAATCTTTGAATAGATATTACCTTATATTCAGGTAGACTAATAAGAAAAAATAGACGAGGAAGAAGAAAAATGAAATTGAGTGACGTACATCGGCAAAAGCAGTATCCAAATAAGAGACAGTGATCTCCACGGAGACTCCAGTGGGGAGTCCATAAGTGTGTATAACCGCAGAACCAACCAAGTCCACCAGTGATGCAGTGCCTCCACCATGTAACACATTCATTGGATTCTTTCGCCCCGTTAACACAAAACAAAACAATCCCATATTAGTAATCCAATTACCTAATTCATTTAGAATTTCAATTGAGAGAAAGAGAGGGCAACCAGAAATCGAACTGGGATTTTCATGGAGCAAAGCAGTCGGCCCTGTTCGATCAACTCGACGTGGAGTCCCAGACCCTGCATGATGAAGTCCTCAAAGAATCGAGAAAGTATTTCATTGCCGTCCAGACCTTTCTCCAAGTTTTTCTTCACTGTTTCAAACTCCATTCGCTTTTTGGTCTGCTTCTTCCTCGCAATTACCTAACTCAATTGTCAGCAACAGCATGAAAAAGAAACTTATTATATAATGTTTCATGCGCCTATGCGTTTTATTTTTGGGGTGAAGTACACAAACGGTCCCCCGACTAAAGAATACTATTTTGTTGAGTTCTCTGACTATTAAAAGTTATGAAATGGTCCCTTGACTATATGGCATTGCTAGAATCCCACAACTATTAAAAGTTACAAAATTATCGTATGACTATTCATATGCTCCTAACCTACCCTTCTCTGTTAAAAAGTAAACAGAAGTTTGAGCTGGACGTTAACCAGCTGACTGTGATAAGATAAAGTTTGATCACAAAATCTTAAACGACTATTATATCTCAGTCAGCGGGTTAACGTTCAGCTCAGACTGTCATCAATTTGTTAACAAAAAAGGAAGAGTTTGTAATATATGAATAGTTAGATGATCATTTTGTAATTTGTAATAATCGATGAACTCAATAAAGTAATATCCTATAGTTGATGGATCATTTTATAACTTATAATAATCAAAGTACTCAATGATGCATCACTTTATAATCGGAGAACCATTTATGTGATTTACCTTTATTTTTTTGTAGAAAGGAAGTTCACAATCTTTCATAAATTTTATCGAATCTAAGGTCAAACAATACCAAACTTATATTTTCAATGCAATGTTTTAAGCCTCGAATCAATCAAGTGATTTATATATATATATATATATATATATCTTAAATTATTTTTTAATAAATTGTATACAGATAGTTAAAAATTGAATTGAATGAGAGTTGCATACTTAGACTATATATATATATGGGTTAATTTTTAATGAGGCCATTATCTTTTTTTTAAAATTAATTTACATAAATGATAAATTTTGTTTTGATTCCTTCAAATCTTAAAATTATAGATTAATCCATTTAAAAATTATACCCTTAACTAAGGTGCGGAGGTTCCGGATTCACCCCCACATCATGACGACACTTTTGAGAGTGTATATTAGAAACTTTATTTAAAACGACAAGAGTCCCTAAACAAACAACTATTATATAAGATTCCATCAAACATAGTACAGATAAGAAATAGACAATTAACGTCATTTTAACTATACATTTTACTGTTATTCAGAATTTAAACACAATATAGATTAAATAAATAATGAAATTTTTAATTTTTTTTATTCCATGTTCATTCACAACATGGAATAAGAGATGGCTTGACAATTTTTTTCTTTTTTAAAATGATTATAAGATAATATTTACTCATAATCTTTATTAATCATTGTTGACGTATATACTATATAGATATAACTATTCGAATCTAAGACTTCAGAGAAAAATAACACTATTTTTAACTACTAAAGTCATATAACAAATAGGACTTGATAAACTTAACTCCAAATAAACCTTTGGGAATTCATGTTTTCAGAAGTTCATCCTATTCTAGTTTTACATGTTTAAAACTCTGATACATTCTCCCATCTATATTAGTACGACAATTTAATAAAATTTTAAATATTAAGATCTTGAATATTTTAAAATACTAATAATTCATATATATATATAATATATTTAAAGTTATTTCACTATTTTTAAATATAATTTTTATATTATAAAATATTAAAATTAAATAAAAATTAAATTAATATAAATAACTACAATTTTAAAATTATAAATCAGTAAAACACGTTGAAAAGCTCGCAGACAGAAAAGCAACCCAAAGCCCCACATGGCTCTGCCATTTCTCTGCGCTTTGACTTAGCCTTTTGTCCCCACTCTTCTTATTATAAAAATAAATAAATAAAAGGATAATACGCATAGTTTTATTATGAGTTAATATAATTTAAATTAATTTAAAACGATTTAAAATTTATAATATTTTTAGGTACAATCATAAATGTTATAAAAAATATAACATTTTTGTTTTAACTTAAAGTGTTATTTTGTCAAATCTAAAAAAATTGTATTTTTAATAAGATTTTTTTAAAACTTATATTAACAAGTTACTTTTAGAATTTTTAACCTACTTATATCCGAGTTGAGCTAGTTTCATGAATCATAAAATAAATAAATTGAACAAAGACTTAGGCTTAGCTTTCACCTAGTCACGGCTTCAAACCCTCGAAATCACACAAATTTTAGAACCCCAAATTGAACAATTAAAAAAACACTATAAAATTTAAAGTTATCTAGTTTAATATACGGGTTATAAATTCTTTTAAATTTAGAAACGATTAATTAAAATTTATAATTAGATATTTAATAATCAAATTTTTAAATATAAATAGTATCACATTATTATACACATATCATAAAGTTTGATACTAACAATCATATGGCTATATATTTTCTTTATAATTTATATAAATAATTTGTTTTCATTTTTAAAACTTTATATGTTTGTTTCATTTTTAAAATTTTATAAATTTATCTTTAATATAAAATTACATATCCGTCCATGATACCACCTTACAGCGTCTTTCATCTACCTCCATTTATACCCTAGGCTTGAACATTTAGAACCACCGGACGCTCTATTTACCATCCAATCCTTAAACAGCCACAGCCTTAAACTCTGCTATTAGTTGAAAATATTTTATACATAACAGCTTTAGAACATTACACGAAAAATTCAGGCCTTGGACAGAAGATAATTAAAGTGTTAATCGGTGGAATGATGGAAATACAAAACAAGGGGTTGCTTTACAGAATAATAAAAATACTAAACTAAACCAAAAGATTCTTTTAAAAAAGGAAGCGGCTGTTTCATTATCTTTTGCCTTTTATCTCTTTTACTGCCTAAAAAGTCCCAAAACTGAATTATAAAAATGGACCAACATGCATGCGCCAATCATGCATACCTTTTACTATTTAACTAAACATGAAATTCACTAGCAAACCATATAATTATTTTTAAAAAATAGTTTATTTGACTGAACAGATATTTCAATTAACTCTTGACTGTGCTCATTGAGATACTAGTTTAATTAATATAATTGTAAGATTAAAATATCAAATTTATATATAGTTATTATAATTTATACCATTAAAAATTTAAACCAATTCAATCATAAACAGTGGTTTGCAACTTACTGGGAAAAAGGCAGTATAGGTATAGAGTTTTATATACACAAACCAGGCAACTATATCTAATAATAATAATAATTAAATAAAATAAACAACTTCAGAGTTCAAAAAAATAAAAATTAAATATTCAAAACAAACAAAATGACAAATTTTATAGTGTATTTTTCATTGTTCAATTTGGGGTTCTATTTCTAATCAGATGTAGTTGGCATGGTCTTGAAGCGATAGAGGAGCTTCTTCTTCTTCGAGGTGGGATTGTGGATGGTGAGAACAACCTTGCCAGGCTCACCAGTCTTGAAATTGTTGCACACCACCGAACAACCAAGTACCTTCTTGCTCTTCTGGATTATTATGGTGTAGCTGTCTTCACCGCTGGGCATGAACTCTGCACCGTAGCTCACATCCCATCCAACAACTCTCACCTCCCATGTCACAGAACATGCCTGCAAATACAGTGTTTCCAGAGTATCCAAAGACGAATGTGGTATTAAACGTTAGTTTTACACGAATCCCTAGAGCCATGGGTCAAAATGTTTCATTGGATTCTCTCGATAAAAGTGAAAGCTGAAGGCCATTACTTACCTCAGTAACTGGTAACTCAACTGTGTGCTTTGCCGCTGGTTTAACAGTTTCCTCGATGACGGCATCGGTGTTGGCGAATTCACCGTCTTTGCCCAGTCCTCCATATTTGACTGGCACTTGCTCGGCAGCGATGTATCTATATAATAAATATACAAGATAATGTCATTTAAACTGAGGTTTATAGATAGAAAAAGGAGAAAAGTTTCGATATTTAGTGACGAACCTGAAAAGGGTATCTGCAGATTTAGAAGGGGCTGCAAAGACAAACTTGCTTCTGGTTCTTTGTGTCAAAAATGGACTTATCATCTTATTGACTGCAAGGTACCACCATGGTACATTGATGAACATCTGTCTGGCTACAAATTCTGGGTAGTTGTCCTGCAGCAACTGAAGCGCTTGTTTGGTTGCTTGTCTAAGCTCCCATTTGGTAAGTCCCGGGGAATTCTTGAGGTCATTGATTTGAACAATAGTGCATACTCCACCGGGGCTGAAATCTAGTTTCCTGATACTCTTTTCCAGGAATTGGATTCTCCATCTCAAGAAATTTTGCCTCTTGTCTTCATCAGAGAATGTTCTCTGGTAAAGCTCCTTGTTTTGGAACTCCCCGAACACATTATAGCACACCGGGTGTCCTTCTTTGTCAAAACCGTGCATGAACACCACTTTCTCTAAGTTATCACCCAAATCTTGTTCCACAAGTTCATCGATGCCGAACTCTTTTCGCCAACGGATGGTGTTTTGGAGCATGGTGAATGCCTCCTTCACCTTGAAATCCCTGGCTCTTAGAAATTTCAGGAGAATGACATCGCTTCTTTCGTCTGCGAGAAGTGGTACGCCCCATATAGATATCTCCTGTGGGAGCACTTTTTTAGCATCATCTTTTTTTTGTTCTTCCGGCACCGGATCGGCGTTTGCTTCTACTGGTTCTTTAGCTGCTTCCGGTGATTGCTCTGTTTGAACTGAAGAAGAGACCGAAACGACTGTATCTTCGATGGCTTCGACAGTCTTGGCACCGTCATCTTCCGGAGAGGCAGAGCCAACAGAAGCAGCAGCCTTCTCTTCTGTATCTACCGATTCAATGCTTTCTTCCTTCGGCAATTGGTTCTTTGTTTCTTCTTCTGATTTGGGCTCTTCTTTGACAGATTCATCCTGTGGCTCTTGTTGTTGTCGTGGCATTGCAGACCCAAAAAACTCATGCTTGTCGAGGGCTTCTCGAACAAGCATTTTAAGTTCCTCGACAGCTTTCTTTTGATTGTCGACAAGATCAGCAACCCTAGTGCTTTCTTCCTTGTAAGAACCGGACTGAGGAACTTTTTCATCACCATCACCATTTGTCACCGCATCCGATGTCTTAGTCTCTAAAGCCTCCTTACGCCCAGCCTGGTTCGGCTTCACTGATTCTTCATCGCTTTCAGGTGCCGGCGGTGGCTCTTTCGCTGCAACCGCCGGAACCAACGGAGATTTCTCATCTTGTGGCACGTCGGCAACATCCACAATCGGCACCTCGTCTGCCTGAGCATTCATCTGAACTTCGTCAGCCATAATTAATGGCTATTATACAAAAAGAATGACAATGAAACTGGAAACGAGAATGGGAGAAAGAGAGTGAATGTGTAGTTTGAAGATGCAGAGAGCACTTTTTAAAGAGATGGGAGAGAGAAGAAGAAGCTGATTTGAGGGGACCCACTACCCTCCAATTTACAATCTGGCAAGCTCTTTTCTGATTAGGAGATAATGGTAGGGCATTAAGGGGAGTTACATAGAAATCATGGGCGCAGGTGGCGGCATTTTCATTTGAGATTCCCATGTGAATGGGCCTACAAACAACTCTCAACGGCAACTGCAGTTTCAAATTGAACCGTTGATGCGTTGGAAAATGGACACCTAGGATCCTCTTCATCCCATGTTAATCATACGCCGGGCCTACCTACTAACATCCAACAATCTCTTCCTTCCGTTACACAGTTCCATCTCAGATTATCAACTTCACCATATTCCCAAATTAAGTTTTTTTTTTTAAAAAAAAATCAATATATTTAATATATCTTTGGATACCAGCGTTACGAATTCCAATAAAAAATTATATTTTTTTGTGATAATAAAAAAATATTGTTAAAAAAATAAAATATTTTTAATAGCTTGAAGTCATCACATCGGCGTGACGAATTCCAATAGGTGAATTTTGAAATTTTTTGCCCGTTGGGTGGAATGGTGGCCAATCATCAAATTTTAAAAAAAAATCAAGGAAACTCGTCACGCCGGTGTGAAGAGGTCCAATGACTACATTGGAGATGGTTTTTAGTATAAATAGGGATTTAGGGTGAAGATTTTGATGTATGAGAAGTGAAAAAAATTGAGATTATCAAATCATGTGGTTGTGGGAAAATTTTGGGTATGATTTGACGAACTATGTTTATGGGTTTGAAAACACGGACTCGGAGACTTACTATTCGGATTCAAACTCTTCTTCAGATGAATAGTAGGAAAAGGAGGCAATAAAATACATAATTGAGGATCATAAGAAGAAGATTATGAGAATGGAGGAAAATAAGAAGAAGTATGAAGATTTACCAAAGCGACGTAGCAAACGACTCATTGACAGGGGAGAAAAAACTAAAAATATTACTATAGAAATTGATAAGAAGAAAAAAAAGACGAAAGAGAAATACGAAGGTGTCTTAATCCGACGTAGTGAACAAATTGTAGAGAGATCTAAAAAAATTGAAAATAACATATTGTAAAAATGTGTTTGTGCCCAAACATTTGGAGTATTATGCAATCATTGACATCGTAAAATTGTTGCATCTCATACATCAGGCTCAACATCCAAACCTTGTCCATCTGAAGCATCCTAAAAAATATTGGAATCATCAACTAATGGTGTGTCGTCATCTTCCAATAATAGAACAATATCTTCATCATCATCACTAAACTCAAAAAGGCTTTCACTGAACCGTCTAATAAGGTTATCATCAACAACACTTGCATGTGGTTTAGAGGATCCTGCTTCTTCTGTTCGTGGTGTTATTACTGATGAGGTCGAAAAATCTATTGTAATTATGGTTTTGACATTAATCTCGACCATATTATTATTTGATGATTGATGAAGTCCAACCATAACAGCTACATCGTCATCATTATCAAGCTGGATTATTCAATATGTGATTGGATTTGAGGAGAACAGGTGCCGATAACTTAAAGATGAAAAATAAGCTCTAAGTTTTCTCTCAATTTTTTGCATCATTTGGCGATGAGATACATCTAGATGGAACATCATATTGACGAGCCTATGTGACTTAAACACAACACCAATATCAATATGTAGAATTTCGCCATTGTAATGGACAATTTTAAAGAACTTGTTGCTCATTGTTTAAACTGTATTTCGTTAGTTGAGAGGAGTGTGTAAGAATTTGAAGATGATCTAAACTCAAGGGAAATAAACAAAAAAGAGAAGTATCATTCCTAAAATTTAAATATTGTAGAGAATTAAAAGGATACATGTCATTTTCTTTTCATTGACATATCACACTAACTCAGCTAAACTGAAATAATTTAGAGAATCAGATAATCTAATGTAATTTTAAGTTAATGCTTCTAATGTAATGTACGAGTACATTTTAATTAACTTAGATAAACATGATTGAGTCAACTCGGCTGAATCAACTCGAACTAAGTCAAGTCGTTGACTTTGATTGACCGTTGATTTTGACTAGAGTTGACTTTGACCTTGATCAAAGTTGACTTTGACTTTAGCCATAAAGTCAAATTTTCTGAAAAGTCATATTTTATGAATTTTCGACGTCCTGAGTCCGAATCCGAAGTTAGTTTTGTCAAAATCAGAACCAAAAGCCTCCGAACTGACCGTCAAACCTAAACATGCATGTGCACTTAAGTATTTTTTTAAGAATAATTAAATTAAGGTTAATGACTGATCTAAGATATTGTTATTTGAAGTGACAATAGACTCTCTCGATCATTTGAGAGCTTGACCCAAATCCTCTCGATCTGTTCGACATCGTGAGCCAGTGATTATTCGTATGATTCATAAACCCTTAGAATATTCGAATTAAAATATTATTCTGATAATAATTCTATTGCATTATGAATTAGGTTCGAGCACTGCTGCAGAGCGTAGAGAAGCAGGTGCTCAATAGACTTGTGACTAATCCCATTTTGTTATATGTGTTCCCTATGTGTCATATGATTGTTTTATCTGTTTTGAAACGTGATTTACCAATGTTGTTGATTTTTTACTGTTTATGAACTATGGTTATTTGATATATGTTATCTGGTTACTTGTTTCACTGAAAATATGATTATGTCGATTTATGGATCATGGAATTTACTGCTTACTATGAACTGTTTTATTGAGATATTGTTTGGGTAGGATTCCAGAGTATGGAGGTTCAGCTTTGATCAAGCTGGTAATTCTTTACGGACCTAATGTGACCCTTGAGTAGGCTCTGAGTCCCCAATAACTTTTTTAGGTAGGCTTTCAAGCCCTAAGATGCTCCCTTAGGTTGGCTTCTATACCCAATGGGCATGTGGTAAGTCCTTATGGACACAGTTTTGGGGAACTACATTTTAATGTACGGGATGAGGGTAATTATGAGTTTTAAAATTCAAGCTTCACTTTGACTTTTATGAAACTTTATTGAATTTTCTTGACTATTTTACTAATTACATTTTACTTGTACTATTATTAGAATGCACTGAGGTCCCTAACTCACTTCCCAAACTTTTTTTCCCTTTTATATACTTCATTAAGCTTTATCATTCATCATTTCAACACTCACACCTCATTCTCTATCATTACAACTCAAAATCACTACCACCACTATTTTCAACTCAATTTACTCAGCATAACCCCCTCATGTATCACACACCTCCACCACCAATCCATTATGAATAACATCCATCAATAACCAATCATTAAAACTACATCATCCTCATCGTCACATTAGCACACAAATTCAATCCTTAACTTATATCTCCATTTCATTTAAAACTTCAATCTTTACTAGTCACAAATTTCAATTATTTCACCTGAAACTTCAACCTTCACTAGTCACTAATTTTATTGAATTATATTACACTTAAATTCTGATATAAGCTTCAAAATATTTCTCATAATTAAACCTAGTGTAAATTAAACTCAACAACTAAATCGAATAAGGATAACAACAACTAAATCGAATAAGGATAACAACAACTAAATTCAAAATCAAAAGTGAAAGATATGAAATAATAAGGAAGATAATGGATTTTTCTTCTCTAGGTTATTGAGAATTTCAAGCTATGATTGTTTGTTATATGATCTGACCCATCAACTGATGGTGAAAGTCACAAGAAATGATATAAGTTAAATCTAAGTCGATCCAATAATCTTCGACAGAGATCTATAAAAGTTTTGTCTGATACATTGATTTGATTTTGTAGAATTCAGTTTTTTTAAATTAAATTAAAAACGATAGAGACAATGAAAAGGAGAAGTTTGATATCAATTTTGACTGAAGAATAACGACCGACATATAATCACTATTTAATCAATATATAATTTGGATTTGTCATTTATAAATAAAAAAATATTATGAACCCAATAAGTTATGTCTTTAACCCCTTTCTTATTACATTTTTCCTTTGGGTTTTCTTCCTTCTTTTTCATAGAATACAAAGATAATTTAGCTGTTTTTAAATTAAATTGAAAGAGCAAAAGAAGTTTAAAGAAAAACAATTGTTTTAAATAAACTTATATAAAAATATGTGAAAATAATTAATAATTTAACTTGTCGATTTAATATTTTTTTGAAATAATTTAAAATAATTATAAAATAATATATGTTCATAATTTTTATTAACTATTTTCAATATATACACCATGTAAAAAAAATCTACTTAACTCAAAACTTACCGAAATAATTTTACTTGTCATTTCAAACTGTTGTAACTCAGATAATGGAGATTAAAAATCGAATCGCCTTTTCGTTATAAATTGGTAGTATATTTTATTGATGAAAATAAATGAAATATGAATGATAATCTTTTGTAATTTACCCAAAACAAAAATTTCAAGTTTCTCAAATTGTAAAATTATTTGGGCCAACAAAGGAACTGTATCGTTAGCAACAATTCCCCCCTCTCCCTTCTTACCACTATAGCAGATTTGGGCTTCAATCAACTTTTACAAGTGACCGACAAATTTTATTCAGGCGCAAATTGAATTGGAACGTGGCTTAAATTATTTTTTAAACATTTTATTAAAGTTTATTTGAATAAATTTGATCGTTGAATCTGTTTAGTTTCATCTTAAATTAATTTGATTAAAAATTATTATATTTAAACATTTATTTTAGTCCATTTATTATGAAGATGGATTTAAATTTTTATGTATTAAAAAAATGACATTTTAATCAAATACGCTAAAGTTATTATTAGTTAATTTAGTTTGATTTATACGCTCTTTGAATTCCTCTTAACATATAAATGTTTTTTTTGTAAATTTTTACATAAAAAATTTAAACACTTATAAAATTTAAATATAAAAATAATTAATATCTAACTTCAAATTTCATTATCTTTGCTTACAATAATATATGTCATAATATAAACATGAATTATTTTTAAATGACATCAAAAATTATATATTGTAGTTATAATAATTATCATTATATAATCATTATAATGACAATAATAAGTGTACTATCCAATTTTGTTTAATTAGAACTATATAATGATAATAAAAACGTGTACACCGTCAAGATTTATACATAAAATAATGTAATAACGAAATTTATTTGAGAAAGTCTAAATAGCATAAAAAATATACAATGAGTTCATAAAATCATACTAAACTTACATATTATGGATGTTCCCAAAGGAAACTCCAACTGCTACAACTATAATATATTTAAGGATAGGGCAGTGGATCCACCTGAATATTTTAAATTGGTCCGTCCGTCCCTGAATATATTTGTTTAACGACGAAAAAGAGGGATACTCTGTTCATGTCTAAAGAAATTTCCGGGATCAACCAAGCTCTTCACATGAATCAATCTGTTGAAGTTTTTGTTGAAATATGGAAGACCCCATTTGCTTGCTTGTTTATAGCTGGTGTATACGCCATTGTTATTAGTTCCGAGGTCCAGGTCCCGGTAGTTCATGTAGGCTCGCCGAGGCGATTTCGAAACGTAGGGTTTCATGTATCCGTATAGCCTTCTCATGAAGTTTATATACCACTGAGATGATGCAGCATCTTCTTCTCCCCATCCCACTGCATAATGAATGTTGAATAAATTCCCTGCCCTATGAGGGTACGGCGATTCCGACTCCGGAATATCGTCCATGTTGCCGCCATAGGGGCTGAAGATAAGCTGCAACGATTCGTCTTCGAAAAACCATTGCCAGAGGCCTTCTAGTCCGGTTTCGGGTATAGGTTCCGTGACATAGTCCGATTTCCCTTTAAAGATCACTGCAGTGCCTGTCCTATTGAGCAAGATTTCTAATGGTTCACTTTGTGGGATTTCGGCAAAGTAAAGGATACTTTGGATCCAACTCATTTCAATACAATCTTGTCGTGTTATTCCGAGCTCCGGGAAGCTTTCTTGCATCAATGGAAGAAGATCATCAGTTCTACCAAGATACAAGGAAGTGAAAGAAGCTTGTATTGTTCTTGTTCCATCTTGTCGGCTCGAATTCACAGCTCTTAAAAAGAGTCTGATGTACAAATCTTCATTGATCTTTGGTGCAATGGATTGCCATTTGTGAACAAGCATTGTTCCATTCTCTTCCAGTGTTCTATTCACGGTAAAGACAGTCACAGTCGATGGAACGGTGACTAAGTTCACTTTCCACGCGACGACGACTCCGAAACTGGCTCCTCCGCCGCCTCGAATGGCCCAAAACAAATCTTCGCCCATAGAGTTCCTATCAAGAAGCTTTCCATTAACATCGACGAGCTCTGCGTCGATGATTTGATCAGCAGCGAGTCCGTATTTGCGCATCAGCATGCCATAGCCCCCGCCGCTAAAATGACCACCGACGCCCACAGTGGGACAAATACCGGCCGGGAAAGCAAGTGTTGCAGTTTTCTCCGCAATTCTGTAATATACTTCACCGATGGTGGCACCGGCTTGAATCCATGCGGTGTTATTTTCCGTGTCGACATCTATGGATCGTAAGTTAATCAAATCGATTATCACAAACGGGACTTGAGAAACGTAGGAAAGGCCCTCATAATCATGACCGCCGCTCCGTATCCTAACCTGCAAACCATGACTTCTCGAGCAATTAACGGTTGCTTGGATATGGGAAACGTGGGACGGCGTGACGATGGCTAAAGGCCTGAGGGTTGTAGGTGTAGAAACCCGAGCATTACGAAGGGAAAAAGCAAAGACGGACGAAAATGAAGAGTTGATTGGAGTGTAGATGACAGTGGAGATGAAATCAGAGTTGCTTGGATGCCTAGAAAGGCATTGGAGGAAGCTGCCGTGTTGTTGGTGAGTGTCACCCAAAGTCGGCCATGAAAACGACAAGAGAAGAGAAACTAGGAACAGATGAGGCATTGGGAGATTGTCATTAGACTTCATTTTTTTGGTGTGTTTGTGAATTGGCTAAGGCAAACCAAACATGGGGATTTTATAGCACCAAGGTGAAGGTGAAGGTGAATGTTGAATGCTTTGCGTTGCGTTGCCTTGCGTTGCCTTGCGTTGCGTTGCGTGTGAATTAACACTTTGACTATTCCCATTTTAGAACCGACCATGTTTATCACATTTTCAAAAAAAAAAAAACCATGTTTATCACGTAGGGTTCAGTTTTTTAGGTGTTTCTACTATTAAAGTTTTTATTTGGTTGTTATACGAACACGACATCCGTAAGAATATATGAACATGGGAATTATCATTAGATTTCATTTTTTTTGGGTGCGTTTTAGAATTGGCAAAGGCAAACCAAACATGGGGATTTTTTAGCACCAAGGTGAAGGTGACTGTTGAATGCTTTGCGTTGCGTTGCGTGTGAATTAACACTTTGACCATTCCCATTTTAGAAACCGACCATGTTTATCACGTAGGGTTCAGTTTTTTAGGTTTTTCTACAATTAAAGTTTTTATTTGGGTGTTATACTTTGCGCTCTCGAGTTGAAACACGACATTTGTAAGAATATATGAACATTAATCGTGAAATGATTGAAAATTATTTAAACAAATAATATCTTATATTCACTTTGATTAATAAAAAAGTAAAAGAAAAAAACCTTTGATTTAAGTTTAAAATTTTATTGATGTATACTTTACTTTTTTAGTACACTAAAAAAACTTATGCATGTGGCAAAATTAGGCAAATTTTGGTAGTGGACCGATTATTTAGCTCAATAGGGCAATCGAGTTTTTAATCTGAGATATACAACAAAATCTACATTGCAGCTCAAACTCGTCATGCCGGCGTGATGAGTTCGGTGGGATATTATTTTTAAATGGACCCTGTGACGTGGGTCTCATGGGCCAAATATATTTAATATATTTTATGAGACTCGTCACGTGGGTATAATGAGTCCCAATTAAAAAAAAATATTTTTTAAATTTAAAAAAATTAAAAATATATATTATTTTAATGGCCCCGAGACTCGTCACGAGGTGTGAAGAGTTCCAATGGGTAATAATTTGAAATTTTCGATCGTTGGGTGTACTGTTCACCAACTATCAATTTTTTTTTAAATTCAATTAAACTATTTTCAATTTGAAAAAACTAGTCGTTTATAGCCGTTTGATAGAGTAGTATAAATAGAGGTTTGGGTTTGATTAATTTTTCACTTGAAATCAAAGATTCTATTGGGAGTAAAAACTTTTTTGTTGAAGATTTTGTGTTGAAATGACCTCAAGAGAAGAAATGTTACGTCTTGATGATGTTCATATTTCATCGACAGAGTTGACTATAGTAAATTTAATTTGTTTTATTTTATTTTACTTTTGAAAAAATTATAGTATTAATAATAATTTTTTATATAATTTTATTAATTAATTTATTTTTAAATTGTATCAAGAAGAATGAGGCATTTGTCATCAAGGAATGACGAATGAAGAGCCACAAAAGCGGATTATGATGTATCTTCAACAATCTGGATCATATCCAACGACGTTTCTTCATGGTTTTAAGGTGATGCCGACATTGATATCGATGTTGATTGAGCGTTGGAGGCCCAAAACGCATACATTTCATTTTTCTTCTAGTGAAGTGACAATAACATTGGAAGATGTCGTGTATCAACTTGGCATTCCGATTAATGATATGTCATTCATGCTTCGTAACAATTATGCACAAGATGCAGTTATTTATGATTTATTAGGAAATGAGGCTCTGGTCGATGTCATTGATGAGATGTGGATACAGATGACGTGGTTGGTAAGAGAATTTAGAGTAGATGTCCAATTAACGGAGTAAGAGGTGAAATATACATCCCGAGCATATCTTATGATGTTGATTGGAGGGATCTTGCTACCGGATAAATTGGGCAATTGGTGCGCACCCAATATCTTCTGGTATTGGAGGATTTCCTTGTATTTCGCCAATATATTTAGGGTTATGTAATTTTGGTTTTTTTTTTTGTATCGTGAACTTTGCAAGGCTAGCATAGTGGTTAGAGGACAAAAAGTGGATGTAGTGAGTTGTTTAGTTTTGCTCCAATCATGGGCGTGGTATCGTCTCCTGTTTTTTACGCATATTACATCCGTTCCTATGGAGTTTCCTCTCGCCGCAAGATAAATTCCTATATTTAAAGTTTTGATATTTTATAATATTTATTTAAATATTTTGAAAATGACAATAAATAATATAGTTATTTTTCTTTTTTTGTTTAGACGGCGACACCGAATAACCGATACAAAGTTGTCGGGTTAAACCAAAGTAGATATCCAGATGAGGATCGATATAGCCGGTAAACATGCGATAAATATTAATAATTTTTGCATTAACATTGAAATTTGTAATATTAATTCTTTAATTATACTAACATAATACTTTTAACAGTTTAATTGGTTGTCTTATTGTGAGTCGAAAATCCAACGGCTTCTACCGCCATTTTTCTTTGGAGAGGAGACATGGCGTGCCATAACATCATTGCTACATTTCACAATTGTTGAGATCCATGCAGGAAATGAAGGCAAAATATGCCAAAAAATATCATCTTGATCTTATACTTCCACCGATTATTATCCATCTCAAGCAAGTTATGGTGGATATGCTCCATATCAAGCATCGATTGAGAGTCGAGCAGTGTGGGTAGGAAGTTCCTAGGATCAAGTGTCACCTTCACAACAATTTTTGGCACAAGAAACAGGACAAGTGATGTATAGGATGATCTTCAATACAATCAATCTTGTGGCGATTTCAGTGTGCAATTTGAGTCGCTGATGGCAATGATGGCGTAAAATACATTGAATACTCCATCTTTTTGACCTGTAGGTGGAAATCAAAGTGGTGGAGTAATGTTTAGTACACCGGATCCGGAAGAAGACGAAAATGACGAAGGTGGACGACCACGACGAAATCGACGAGCATCACGTCATTACTATTCTATCACTCCTCAACATCGACAAGAATTGCACAAATATAAGTAATATTTTTATTTATTTAAGTAAAGTTACTTATGTTATAATTTATTTTTATTATCATATGTAAATAATTACAGTAAAAAAATTGAGTTAACTATGTATTTGACATTTAATTGTAAAAAAAACTTATATCAATAATATATATGCGTTCACCCTTAAAATGTTTATAAAATTTGCCATTAATTTTACTTTTAATTAAACTAAATTTGAAAATTCTATATCATATTCTCGTTAACAATTTGATAATCCAATATCTTAACTGAACTAAAAACTAAAGTTTAGTACAAAATTGAAGCATTTTAAAGTCTAATGATATACAACCTAATTTTCATTAATATTTGGTGTAGTTTATAAAAAATAAGGCTAACTTACACATATAGTACCTAAGTTATTACTTTTGTTTTATTTTGGTACCCAAACTCTTTTCCTTAAAAATCATGTTTAATGTTTTTTTTAGGTTTCATTTTGGTACCCAGTCGCTAAAAACTTGATGGTTATGTTCACATGTCACCATAAGGTAATTTCACAACATCATTGAAAAAATAATGAAAAATAATTAAAAAATTTATAAAAGCTTATTAAAATAAAAAAGAAGATGTTAAAGATTTCTATTCATTAAAATGTATTCGACATTAAATTACATTAGAAACATTACATTAAAATGTACTCTTATCTGATTTGAATGGAAATTATTTCAGTTTCTCTGAGTTGATGTGAAATGTCAATGAAAAGCAAAGGACATGAATAGTATATATTATCTGATTCTCTAAAATATTTCAGTTTATCTGAGTTGATGTGGACATGAATAGTGTAGATTCTCTAATTCTAAAAAATATTTCAGTTTATCTTAGTTGATGTGATATGTCAATGAAAAGCAAAGGACGTGAATAGTATAGATTATTTGATTCTCTAAAATTTTTCAATTTATCTGAGTTGATGCGATGTGTCAATGAAAAACAAAGGACATGAATATTGTAGATTCTCCGATTCTCTAAAATGTTTCAATTTATATGAGTTGATGTGATATGTCGAGGAAAATCAAATGACGTGAATATTGTAGATTATATGATTCTCTAAAATAATTTTGTTTATCTGATTTGATGTGATATATCAATGAAAAAAATGATGTGAATAGTGTAGATTCTCTGATTCTCTAAAATATTTCAGTTTATCTGAGTTGATGTGATACATCAATGTTAAAAAAATAAAAACATTTTTAATAGCTTGAAGTCGTCACACCATCGTGACAAATTCCAATAGGGGAATTTTTATTTTTTTGCCCGTTGGGTGGAATGGTGGCCAATTGTCGATTTTTTTTAAAAAAAAATCAAGGGTACTCGTCACAACGGTGTGACGAGGTCCGACGGCTACATTGGAGATGATTTTAGTATAAATATGGGTTTAAGGTGAAGGTTTTGATGTATGAGAAGTGAGAAAAAAATTGAGATTATCAAATCATGTGGTTGTGGGAAAATTTTGGGTATGACTTGACGAACGATGTTTATGAGTTTAACAACACTGAGTCGGAGACCGACTATTCGGATTCAAACTCTTCTTCAGATGAATAGTAGAAAAATGAGACAATAAAATACATAGTTGAAGATCATAAGAAGAAGAACATGAAAATGGAGGAGAAAAAGAAGAAGTATGAAGACTTACCAAAGCGACGTAGCAAACGGCTCATTGAGAGGAGAGAAAAAAATTAAAAATATTACTATAGAAATTGATAAGAAGAAAAAAAAAGATGAAAGAGAAATACGAAGGTGTCTTAAACCTATATAGTGAACAAATTGTAGAGAGATCTAAAAAAATTGAAAATAACATATTGTAAAAATGTGTTTGTGCCCAAAATTTGGAGTATTCTGCAATAATTGACATCGTGATATTGCTGCCTCCGATACATCAGGCTCTACATCCAAACCTTGTCCATCTGAAGCATCCTAAAAAACATTGGAATCATCAACAAATGGTGTGTCGTCATCTTCCAACAATGA